TTTCAAAAGTTATAAGCATCACAAAAATCGAAAAAATACGTTTTTTCGCGGTTTCTTAATAAATTTCACCTTTTTCCAGTTTTTGTAATGTTTATAACTTTTGAAAGGAAAGCCGTAGGAAAGGCGGCGATCCTTCATTTTCTTCAGAATTTTGTGTTGTTTAAGTTTGTACTGTTAGAAACGAATTATTACAAAGTCTTCTGAGACCTGAAAAATACGGTTTTGGGTTTTCTAGAAACCTTGCTACCTTAAATCATCTATGAAATGTTGTTATAGGATGCATTTGATAGAGCTTTTCATTGGCTATCTGAATCACTATTTGGATTTCAGTTAGATGCTTGTTATTATAGAAAAAATCAAAAATACATTTTCGCTTAAGCTTTTGTCTTTAACTGTAAGCACGTAGTTTTGAAAATTATATTTGATGGCTGACTAAAAAAATTGAAAAGAAATGTATCAAGAGTTTATAGAGGTTTTCAGGAAACGTTTTTTGGTCTTTCAAAGATTTCGATAGAAAATGAGCTCATCACCGTATTTAGCACGTCAAATAAACTTTGTACACAATTGTTTTAGACACCAAATATTTGTAATATGTTAGTTCGGTGATGCGTCTTTGTGATTGGCTCTATACATGATTTTACTAAATGGAAACCAATGAAAAGCGTTAAAAAACATTTATCCTCATAATGCTAACGATTATAAATGCTCTAGAAAAGGTTAATTAATGCTTTGAACACAATGATGAGATCGGCTTCTATCGAAACGCTTGAGATATTGAATAAATTTCTTTGAAAATCCTCATAAACCTTGGAACGCCATTTTTTTCGAATTTTCGAGTTAACCATTAAATACAATTTTCAAAACTACGTAGTTAGTTCGAATTTTACATCGCTTCTTTATTTCTATTGAGAAATACCAAATTTTCAGTTTTCGTACCCTATAAACAAAGGCAGGCCTTTTTTGACCTTAATTGCAGCCTTTATAGGCGATCATAGTTGCCAGGAACTTTTGTAGGTTATAGTCAAGTAGACTACATCTTTTTTACTTTTTACAAGTGATTTTTTTAATGATACTTATAGCTTTATAGCTTTCTAGAAACTCCTGTGACAGACTACAGGTTCCAAATAGGTTTCGGTCAAGTGTACGAAAAATATTCCTCGAAATATATCATCAGGTATCATGCTCTACTTGAAATCAATAAGAAAAAGTTTATTCGGTTGAAGGCAGATAAATGGTCTTGTATGCCGCACTCATTTAGTTTTTCTATTACTTGGAAATAAATTTTACAAGATAGTTTCATTTAAAATGATTTTAATCAAGAAATTCATTTAATTTTATCCTTTATTGATAATTGCTAAAAACTAAGCTAAACATAGCTTAGTAAAGCTATTATAAAGCAATTTTTTCAACTCATTTTCAAAAACAAGCTTGCTTCTTTTCTTAATGAATTGTATATTATGAAAATAACATAAACAGATGTTACTATGGAAATATATATGTTTAGACACAATCATCGTGAAGAATATTTATGTGTTCAAATGATAAAAGTTCATTTACTATCTCGGATATCACCGGAAACAATTTCGTATTGGATATACAAATCTCCAATTCGCCAGCTTCCATTGACACCATATGAAGCTGATCTTTTTCATCATATAAATATATTTCATTCAAATGGAATTCTTGGAAATAAAAGTCAATTAGATTATTCTCGATTAGAATCAGCATCTATAACACCTTTTACTTCTTTTTTAAAATTTTATCAACTTATTTGTTCAACTCCCCAATTGATTAATTCAAATCAATTTTGGATTTCATCTCATTCATCTTCATTATGTAACAATTCAATGACAGGTATTTATCTTAGTCTTTTAATACATCATACATATCACAGTTCAATGAAAAACTAAAAACAACTATTCACGATTTACTCCTAGAACTTGACTATTTCTTCATACGGGACACGTCATCTTGTTCACAAAAATGTTAGAAGCCTTTAGTTTGATTTTATGCGATAAATGGAAACATGTCATCTTATGATATTTCGCATGTAACTTCTCGTCAATGTGCTTTTAAATCTTGCGTAAAATTATTTTTCATGACTACTAGGAAATATATAAATAACCTGCGTGTGATGCTTTGCAATCTGAATCGGAAGATTTCTGTTCTCCGAATTTCTTCTCCGAAGAAACAAGTTTTTCGTCTTTACTGGTCTATGTACTGCCAGCTATTTATTTAGATGGTTTTTCGCTGAAATTTGTATTGCATTGCACAAAATATATGCTTGTTTTTAAGATAAGAAAAAACTTCTTTCGATAAAACATTACTTTAAACCTCAGATTTTAACCCATGTGAAACAAAGTGATTCGTCACGGTATTCATTCACTGTTTGATTATGATGTATTTACGACAATATACAGTCAAGAATAGATCGGCTACATGCCATGTTTTATCGTAGATCTAGTCAATGATTTTAGACCGTATGTATACCATGCCGTATAAGACATGTTCATGCCTAAAATAAGAATTATAAATACGTATGAATATATTACAACGGATATGAAAAGAGTTGAAAAACAAGGAAATTTTGAGAAACCTATTGAAATCTGCATAAAGAAGGAATTTTAGTCCATAACGAACATAGCGGGAGATTATTACTAAAAAGTTTTTCTTGTTATGCATAAGACCTAATAAGAGTATTTCCATCACTCATAGTACTTACTTGTTACGAAGAAACGATAGATAAGATCTATTCAAAGCACCTTTCTTGTCTTTTGTTTTACGGCTGAACTAATAATATTCATCATCATGAAATGTGCTAAAAAGATGTTTTTAAATAGCACTTACTAAAACAAAAAAAAATGAACTGGAAACTATTTAAACGCAAAATTTCGAGTCGCTTTTCTCCTGTCCTCATTTTACCAATCAACTACGGCGTACTCTTTGAAAAAAGGTATTACACTGAGCCTTTCATGATTCTAGATTACGGCACATTTTCTGGACCTTTTCAAGTCGTAGTCAAAATTCTAGAACCACAAATGTCTCAGTATGACGCTTTTTTTTGAAGAGCATATACTGTATATTTTATAATCGTTAAACGCCTTCGGCTGTAACCCGAGATAACAGTCATTTGTAAATAGCAAATAACCAATGACTAATTAATCAATACTTCACTAAATAGTAATCACCCAGCTAGTACTTAACCAAGGATTATTCGTCTAATTAAGAGTTAACTACTTAGTATTTGTCCCTTGAGAATTCAACTTATTGCTAGAGTCCTAATTAGACAATTACTCGTTGATTGAGTACTAATTAATTAGTCATGCATTATTCAACAATTATATAATGTTTTTCGGCTTGAATCACAATTGAAAGAACCCAGCTGCTAGAAATCATAAAATACGGACTACAAATGATTGATAAAACTCGGATGCGAAAAGTGAGATCGAAGTTTCGAATTAACACATCAAACCTACTTTTTCAGATCCACTTAGTAGTCTCGGATCAAACTCAAAAGCAACCAATTAAAATATAAACGAACTCATAGTAGTCAAGAAGACTTCACCTTGACGAAGAAAAAGCATTTTCAAGAACTGAAACTGTTAATAGAAGTATGTTCACGAGAGAAAATCACTGAATAACGTCAAAATCAAGTGAACTGGATACTTTTAGATGAGTTTTAACAAGAACGATCTATTATGAATCATTAAATAGTGTCTCAATATATACTTAGAACGATTTAATAATAAAGTGTAAGTTCTGCATGAATATGGCACGTTTACGTACCGCTCTAAACGAATACCACGTACAATATCGAATTGTACAGGAATACGGCGTGCTGTTTATGGAAACCATTTTCAGGTTGAGAATCACTTTAATTCAATCATATTAGTCGCTTACATGCTAAGTAGTTTCACCAAAGGAAACTTTAGTGAGACTATTATCATTTGAAATGATCTACGCTCTTTTTGAATAATTTATTGACATAGGAAGTTCGTAAATTTCTCCTTGTCGGAGTGATCCTTCATATTGAGTTTGTTGAGAAGAAACCTATAGCAGACGAAGTTAAAATACACAAATTCATGTTTATCAATAAATGGTAAGCTATTATTACACAGTAGTGTTTCATATTTATTAGCAAGATGTTGAACTTGTTAGTGATAATCGTTTTTATAGATAACCGAGTGCAAACAAGTAATGCGTCGGTCATTGGGCCTCGCTTGACTCAATCCTGGAAGCGGCGAATAGAGACAATAACATAGTAAACATAGTATTCTCAAAAACAAAATTGTATCCTAGATCGGGTGATTTTTTTGAATTCTTGTTATCGTAGTCGGCCACATAAGGACAACATCAAATATTTCCACCGAAACTTCCTGTAAAAATGCGTTTCATTTGAAAGTACCAAAGCAGCTGCTCGTCGCTTCTGTGTGTACCCTCTTTCCATTTTCGTGTAAACCATTCACGTAAACAATTTAGGAAATAGTTCCAGTCGAATTCTGGCCAAGAGATGGTATTTGGACTTTAAACACAATGTGTCTGCTTCCTTTTAAAAATCGCTCTGCAGAGATAGTAACCCTATATACAAAAAAAGTTGTTGCGTTGATTTTTTATCTTCGACCACCTGTGAGAGGGCGTGGCAAAATTCTAATTATTACCAATTTTGACTAAATTTTCTGATTTTTGAGGAAGAAACCTATGAAAATGATTAGAAAAGCAGAAATCAGAAATTTACTTACGCTGCGAGTTGATAGGGAATTTGAGTTTACGGGAAAATCAAAAGTAGAGAACTATTTAGATAACACCCCTACAGGTATAGAGCTAAAGAGATTTAGAAGTATAGCGGTATACAGATATACAGGTATAGGCATATTACGAGCAGTAGTGTCAAAGTTAAAACTTGAATTCAATTGAGTTTTCAAATTTCAAGTGTCAACTTTCAACTTTTAAGTTTCTATCGTTTCGTGGCCAGTCCTTTCTGGATCAATCCTTTCACGGCATCCGCACCAGATACGATGTTATGTGTGTCGTATTGTGGTCAGTCCATTCGCGGCCAGTCCTTTAGAAGGAACTTGAAAGTTGAAAGTTCAAAACTCAGTTGAATTCAAGTTTTAAGTTCTACATATATGATTACAAAAGAAGTAGTAAGCACCTTCTTCTCCTCTGATAGGGTTGCCCCTTTCTCCTCACTTGTCTTTCCTAATGGATCATGTCTTAAACTTCATTCTGTCGCCCCTGTTAAAGGGTTGCGCCTCCACCCTCGCCTTGTCGTCCCCATCAAAGGATTACTCCCTCACCCTCATGCTGTTACCCCTCCCCGCCCCCGCCCAAAAGGACTGTGCCTTCATGATTTCTAATTTCTGGTAATATCTTAGAAATATATAGTGTGAGTAAATTTTTGATTTTTACTCAATCTATACGAGACCGCCGACCAATTTTGAAAATTATTGAAGAATTGAAACTTTAAATAATTTTAAAACGCAGATTTCAAAATTTGTACCAATTTGAAATTTGTCACCCCATGACTGGTTCCTAACCTATCAATGAAGTTTGGAGGCAAATGGAGTTTAGACTCGAACTCCCCGCCTAGAATTACAACTATGCAGCTCTTTCTTGAAAAACTCGATTTCTATTTCTTTCTGACCCACCGATAGGGTTTTAAGATAGTCGAGGTCAGATTCGAACTTCCCACCGCGAATTATCTATAGGGTGTCATTTTCCGAAAATCTCAATTTCTATTGATTTCTAGTCGACCAATAGGGTTTCGAAGAAAATGAAGCTCGGATTTGAACTCCGCATACTGAATTACCTGTACGGAGCAATTTTTCGAAAAAGTCAATTTCTATTGGTTCCCAGTTGAGCAATAGGGTTTCGAGAAAAATAAAGCTCATATTCAAACTCGCCGCACCAAATTACGTGTGGGGAGCAAGTTTTCAAAAAACTGAATTTGTATTGGTTTCTGGTCGATCAATCAGACACCGGACAAACATAAGAATTTCTGTTGTGAAGACTCCATCCTTTCGGGATTGATAATTAATTAGTAGCTAACAGACACGCCTCAGTTGTGCGCAATAATGAAAAAGAAACGAATGTGAACGCACGATAATATTAGAACTAGCAGGCATGAATCCCTAGGATATATCATGCAAAGAAAGCGTCAAACATTCATCTATATTCGTAGCAATTTGCATGAAGATTCAAGCATGTACACATTTGATGTTGATGCCATGCCAAAACATACGTATATTTTTGTAGAAAACTTAAACGGTAATATGTGAAAGCTTGTGCTTTGTATGCGAGAAAAATTTTAAAAATTAAATGAAGACCACTTAGCAGATATGCATGAACCTGCAAAAATAATTTATTCGAATATTTACAAGGATCAGAGACAAGCTTCATCTGGTGTTTTCGACGTAGAAAGTTGAAAAACTGTGTTTGCATACCCTGTTTTTCTCTATTGATGTGCAAAAGCTGAAAATATTTTTAATAAATTCCCCAGATCGAGTAGTACGGACCGGTTCCCACATGCAACGGCGATTTTCCCGCATTTTTCTTGCCGGTTCCTGCAGTATCCGATGGCCTGAATGATTGACCTGGATCATTGTGTGTGTGTGTGTGTATGAGACATAATAAATGGAAAACTATCTTTCAAGTAGATGCAATTCCTCAATATTTCTTGAGAATACATATTTTAAAACTTCATCTTTGACTGATCTTTTCTTGCCGCACAGATATTCATCTTTGAAGAAATATCTCTTAAATTATAGTATTAGACTGATCATTACTGTTAGGAAACGATAGCTGGGAAGGCTTGAAGAGTCTATTGAGACAAAAGAAATATGTCAAGAAAAAAGTGCGAAACAGAATCTGAGAAATAAATGTACTCCACAACTCTTTTAAATAGACATAATATTTGGGAGATATAAAATATTTGTATATTGTTTTAGATGACGACAAACAAGTTGTTAATAATGTGTACAAATCATCCGTATGTAGATAAATATTCTTATTAAAATAAAAAATGATTTTTGCTTTTTAAAAGCTTCTTATTGATAAAGATGTCATATCTAAAACAACTGAATCAAATAATTCATTCTGTCGACGAATAGTATTTCATGGACAAGAAATTTTATCGTATTATACAACATTATCAACAAATTTGAAAGAAAAAGATAATCAAACAGTATCATGTATTTCAATAAAAGATATTATTTCGATTTATTTTCCATGGTGTTCAATTGAACAATTTATTCAAATATGTAGAAGAAAACAAATAACGAGATTTAAACCTGATAAATCAACCGGCTATGATTCAACATTTCGTTTAGTTAATATTCAAGAATTGGAAAAACATTGGAATTTTATTCTTAAAGAACTTTTACCAGATACACAAATATCTTCTCGTAAACACAGTAAGATTTTATTGAATACTTGTCCAATTTGAGTTCGAATATGAATGAAAAATTAGCAAAACAATTAAGTCAGCTAATTGTAAAAAATAATGTTTATCTGAATTCAATTTGAGTTGTAAATGTGAGAAATATCAATGAGTAGCTAATAACAACGCCTAAAAGATAAGTCATAGATAAATTTTATTGACGCGACCTATTTTTCCTTTATAATGTATAGTCTATTTCGAAGTAGTTAAAAAGTGCTCACATCCTGAATAGCCAGAAAAGTACATTGAAAGATGATTATTTTATGAATTTCTCAACTATTCTAGTTGAGCAAATATATATATGATCAAAAACAACCATACTTCAGCAGATACAACTGTTTATATGGTTCAACTATAAGATCTTTTATCTTCATGTTGTCATATACAGATAAATACAATAATCACGGGAAACAAAGACATTTGTTTACTCTTTTCCTATTCAAAGCTTGTGTACTGTCTTAGAATTTTTCCGTAAATCTTCATATTTTATTCTATTACTCTGTATACAAATTCAGTTTTCTCGAAGCAGACAAGAATTTTCCAAAAAGCATTTAAAAACCACAATCATCGTCCTAGTTTTAACATTTTGAAACTCATTCAAAAAACAGAAAAATCAACTACTTTCATCATAAAACATGCATGAAAACGCTTACAAAAGCAACTTTTACATCTGGTCGACTTGTGCAATTTTTTTCACATTACTTAGACGTGTTTTGAAGATAAGAATGACTTTCTATGTGATAACTATTGCAGATATATGAATCAGTAAAATGTACGCTATGCCGAGGATTTATCATTGGCTTATGTTGAAGGTATTATATCTTGATGCATTGTGTGAAAATAGGTCATTATATCAAAAATCTATTAAAATTGACAGAAATAAGTCTTTTTCGATTTATTCTCATAATGTTGATGTATCTGAGCCGCTCACACTAGCTACAAATGCTCAAACCGGCCATAGTTAGGAAATAGATTTTTCTGATGGATGTCGCTGCACAAATTCTTACGTTTAGAATATATTCTGGAACTGTTTTGTTTTCAGCTAGTTTGAATAGGTTCCAATAAATAATTCGACATTGAGTAAGAACCATTGTTTCGTAAGCGCTACCGTCAGTAAATCATCGGAATACCTGCCAGATATGTGTACCGCCGGTCTTTATCGGCTCCGCTCCAATGACAATAAAAACTGGTTGTTGTATTGGAAAAATCTTCATTTTTTGGCTGCTTCACATACTAACTTTTGTACCAATAAAACACGCTCAGGTTCTATTGTCAAAGATAAAAATGAAAGAGGAAAAACTACAGTTTGTAGTATTCCTCTGACATTTTCTCGCTTGAGTTCAACTTCATCTCTGATACCGAAGGCAATACGAATGAACGTGCAACATAAGTTTTTTATGCGTAATGTATGTCTAAAATATTATGTGAAAAGTTTTTGGATGTTTTTCAGATGCAAAAGTCATCTTTTTAAGTGTCTTTACGCATCTCACATGTTAAAAACAATTGATTTTGTTGCTTTTTGAATGAACGTGAAAATGCTCAAACAAGGACGATGATTAAAGTTCAAAGCCGAGGTAAAATACTCGAAGTGCTCGTATTTGAGTACGGTTTTGGCTGTACTTGTACTTGAAGGATTGATACTCGTATATGTATTCAAGTGTCAAGTACTCTAAAAGTTGAAGGTTTTTACGACTATTTTCCCACGTCCAAAATATTTTAGGCTCATTGCATTTAAATCATATGAGGGGCGATTTCTAATACTACTGTAACGATTTATTTTGCAACGTCTCTTGATCAATTGTTCAAGTTACATCCAATTCTTCTAGAAGGACGGTCACGATTTCTTGACCTCGTCAAAAAGTACGAATCAGACACGAACGATAGATTCGGTAGCGTTGTGAAATAAATCTTTGCAATATTGTCACATGTCACCACTAGATTGTTTTGATCAGAGAAAAGCTAAAATATATCGAGAACTGTAAAATGGTCTTATCTGCTTTTGTCTTTTTAGATAAAATTTGTTATATGAAAGTGGTACTAGGTACCTATTTCTACACTTTAAAGTTGAAGCAGAGAGTTAATATTTTTCGACCTCGATTTTATTTAACAGTTCATCGATTGATATTCGACAATTAATACTGTCACAGCGTTGAATACATGTTATCAATTAATTGTATTCAAAATTTTCATTCTTGAATGCAATTTTTGGTCTACTCGTACTTATACTTGAGAAAGTCCATTACTTATCGAGCCCTGAATTAGAGTATGTAAACGCATTTTGAAAAATTCTTGTCTACTTGGATCATTGTTCGGAGCATAAATGACAATACCGATTTTATTAATTTGACATAAAACCAAATAAATCATATCCATATAAACTATTTCATGATAGAAAAATAAATGACAATAAATTATTTCCGACGTCAACTTGTGTTCCTAAAAAAAGACAAGAAAAGTATGGTGAAAAAACAGAAAAATTTTTAATTAGTTGATATTTAACATCATGAAAAATGAATTTCAATGACAACAAAGTTCATACTCAAGCATTCAACTGTGAATAACTTATGCGACTAATTTTAATTAGTTAAATTAACATATTGATTTTTACATTTTTCACTTGAGAGTAGAATTTTAATTGACATAAACTGTATCTTTTTTTCCATTGAAAAATTTTTTTTTTTTTTTTGTTTTTAAATTTATCCCCGAAATAATATAAGACAATTGAACTTTAATTTCTCATTCGAATAGAAATAAGACAAATTTTTATTATATTGAGAAGAAAATCTATAAAAATATATTTTAATAGGTGATCAATCTGAAGAAGATAAATTATTTATTGAATTGCAAGAGAATAATCTTTCATTGACAAATAATTCAAATGATATTTTATCTTCAAATATAAATAATCAAGATTCAATTAAGACAATTGAATTAGCGTCAAAAGAAATTTTATCTGAAATAAATTCAATTGAAATAGACGATAATTCAATAGAAAATAATTATATATTAAACAATTCTTATATTCAATTAAATGATAAAATAAACGAATATTATCAATTAATAAAACATAATAATAATAATGACAATAAATTTGAAATGAATTTATCAGAAACTGTACAAGAAAAACAAACATTATCAATTATAAAAGATAAAAATTCATTAAATAAAAGAACTTTAAAAAGAAATCAATATCGATCAACTATTTCTTCTTATTATTATTCAAAAAAAAGAAGAAAAGAAGAATCAAACAAAATGTATAATCATAATAAATATTCAAATAATTATGATCAACAATTATGGATGAAAAAATATTCAATTGAATCATTTTCAATTATTATTGATCGATATAAATTACCTTTTATTTAAATTTTTTTATTATAAATATATCAATTTTATCTGCACACTAATAAATTGTTTACTATCATTATATTCAAATATTATTTATTTATTTAATATAAATATGTTTTTTCGTTTTTTTCTTGACTCTATTAAAATTTCAATAAAGACAAAAAACATTTGACTTTCGACAATGATTTCTTTTTCGTTTTTTTCTTTTTATCGAAATTTTAATCGTGGACACTTTTTTCGGGTTACTCTCAACTCGTCCCCCAAAAAATTCGTACCCAGCTAATTGATTCTCAACTCGTCCCCCAATCCAATGGCTACTAATTGGTGACTAATTTGATAAACAGGCGATTTTCAACAATCAGCTGTTTTATTCAAGAGTAACAAAGAAACAAGAAAAAAACAAAAGAAACAAGAATCATTTGACAAGTTTTGTCTTCAAAGCGAGTCCGCATTTGATCGCGAGTTCCATATCAGTGATTAATCCGCTCTTATGATCGTTAAGAAGGAGCTCGAGATTCTCGTCAATAGCATCGTTCACCTTCTTTCGTTTGCGCAATTGAACTCGCGACTCTTCGGACTCGTGATGCTGGTATTCGTGCTCCTCGCGCAATAATTCGATAAAGTTGAAGATGTGCGGATACACAGGAAACTGACATTTGAGTCGTCGATTAGGACCTTCAACATGGTTATTCGTGCGCAGTAGTTTGTTGACCAACAACTCGTGAACATTCCATATCTCTGCGTGATAGCGCGCAGAGCTGCTGTCAACGTGCGTAGAAACGAGATAACCATTGAACTTGGTTGCAGATACGTGCTTGGAAGTATACTCGTCCATAACTTCCGTCCACGTACGCTCAATCAGTTCAGGAGGAATCAAGGCGAGACCAATAACAGCGAGAAACCAGTGATCCTCGCATTTCTTCTCCTCTGGTGAAATGTCAGTGTTCTCCTCGTCTACAGAAGGCGAAAGACGACGAGTGAGACCGAGTTCTTGGATTTCTCTCCAAAGACTCTGCGAATAATGAAAAAGGCAGCCGGTGACAGAGGCTGTAAGAAAGAGACGACAGAAAGAGTTCATGGTTGTGATCTCAAAGTCAATCGTGAGTCGCCGTGGCTGGAGATTGAGATCGAGTAAGCGAAATCACGTGACCGAATATCTTCGTGTAAACTTGCTCGTCTTTCTTCGTCGTAAGACAGTACACACACGGGATCATGAAGCCGCTCGAGAAGCCACACAAAATGTAGACTTGGGTAAAAATGAGAGGGCGAATGCTCGCATTCAGAAAGAAATGTGAGACTCCAGTCTGATGCAAACATCAACAGCCGATCTTCTCCATACAGCTCGTCCACGATCAAGAACGGTTCTCCGTACTTGGCAAGTCGCCAAACGTCTGGAAGAACGAGATCAGCCAGTGACTTCGGCAACGATGGATAATTCTTCGATCGACTTCGATACAGCGAAGCATCAACATTCTCAAATGTAGAAAAGAAGAGACCAGTCGCTAGACCGGAATGACTGATACGAGCTTTAACGATTTCTTGTATATAGATTTTGGGGATCGGTGTAGTCTCCTCTTGTGCACGTTTTTTCATATTACAAACTGCTTCGTCGACTAGAGATTTGCCGGCAGAAGCTGGTTGTTGGCAAGTATGAGTAGAGGGCTCGCGAAGAACTTTTGCATCGGCTGTGCAAAGAGAAAGCGTGCTGGCACAACCACGATCTCGACAACGCCACTCGTTGCTGGTCTTTCGCGCACTCTTCTTTGTGTATTGACAGGGGCGGCGCGACCGGGGGGTCACCTCCTGCTTTGAAACATTTTGGGTTAGACTTTCTCCGATTTTGGACTAGGCTTTCTCCGATTTTGGGCTAGATTTTCTGCAATTTTGTGGTAGGTTTTCTACGGATTAGGGAGAATTATAATGAAGCCTGAGAAGGGGTACGGGGACTTTTGCCGCGCTACCCCCCGGTCATCACTTTTTACGAAAAATCGGGAGTTTTGTATTAGCAGTCTTAAGGCATAATTTTCGGGTGGACTTGGACAAGAGACAAATTTTTATAACGTTGAAGAAAGTTACTAAACTACTTTCTCCGATTTTTTGGATACCCTCCCCCTGCTCAGACCTCTTCGCGCCGCCCCTGTGTATTGATGAGAATTATAATTGAGTATAGGTGGACCGCGCTCCGAAGATGTGAATAGCAGCATTTCTTAGAGCAGAGAGAATGTCAGTAGTGAAACTAATACACTACTAAGAAAACACATCATCATATATATATATATACATAGTGCTCTACGCAGCAATCAATTTTCTGATTGAGGACTATTGTTCATATATTTGTTTCTAATTGTTTCTGTACATGGACGGGCTAATTGAGGGGACGAATTGAGAATCAATCAACTAGGAACGGATTTTGTTGGGGACGAATTGAGAGTCAATTAATGGGAGATCAGTTAGGATAATTGGCAAGGAGGATCAATCGAGAGGATCCGCTTTTTTCGTGCCAATAATAGGATAAATGTTCACATATGACAAATCAAGACAAAATTAATTATGTAAAAAAATATAGAGAAAAAAAGTAATTATTTTCATCAAGAATTCGAATACTTTGATATATCAAGAAAAAGAAAAAATGTAATAAATCAATTTTGACAACTATTAAGATTTTAAAAAATCATCGAAAAAAAATTTTTCTTTACTTCAATTTGATTTTTTTCATTTCTCACTTATGTCACTCTTATAATACGTGTCGAACTTTTTTCAGATTCTTCATCTTCAACTGAAACAATTCTTCACTCTTCTCACTTATCGATATACAAATATTTTTAGTCTGTATCTATTCAGATTCTTTTCTCCCTGAACAACATGTCACGTCACGTCACGTCACGTCACGTCACATCACATCACTTTCAACACTAGACTACATCGAACAATCTTATATTCACTTTTAAATTGAACTATTCACAATGATCCTCTTACTATATCTATTTTCCCATAGTGTTTTATAAAGCAATCATTTACATATATTTCTCATACCTACACACATACCCTCGAAAGATTCTAGACTTTGCGGACATTTTTTCTTGTAACTGAGAAAATGTTCGCAATCAAGAAGATACGATTTTTCTTTTTAACTAATTAAAGTCATTAGAATTTTTGTCATAAAAATAAAATATTTTAATAACGAATTTCACAAATAATGTCTATGTTATTTTATTTTTTTTGTCTTCTAATTTCATTTAGACTATAGGGAAAAAATTTTTGAAGATAGTCTACATATAATAACTTAATAATAGTTTGATGGATCAATTTGAGATTTTTCGGATATGTTTTTACCATATCTGACCATTGTTTCATCAAAAAATTTCAGAACTAAGTGCTTTACTAAATAAAAATAAATGCGGAAACTTCGGATTTAAATCCGAGAGTTATGTGTACTTCAAAAAGTGAATCATACAAATCAATCATCCTAAACTGTCTGAATATCAAAATTATACTGTGAAATCTACCATTTAAAATGTTGATTTATATTGTGCGCTGCCAAACCAATAGGATATGGGACCGAATACAATTCAAGTTTGAACTCTGCTCCTTGAT